AGGGGAACTCAGAGAATATTTTTTAGTGTGTTAGGCAGTTGTTCTAAGTTTTTTTTTTCTCCATGAAATAAATGCCAAGGGCCTTAAAAACAGCCACACCCCACTCTGGGCCTCATGTGAGCAGTCAGATGATCAGGGACTGATGGCAGGGAGGCGGAGGAGTGGACAAGAGCGAGCTGGGCCTCCAGCCCCCTAGATGCGAGCCTGGAGCCAGGAGGAGCTGCCTTGCGCTGGAGGCGAAGGCGGGGAGCCTGCGGGCGCTGGGAGGCTGCAGCCCAGGGCAGCTGGAGGGAGGGCTTTGCTGGAACCAGTACTCGGGCTAACTCCTCAAGGCGGGCTGTGTGCGGACTGTCAGAGGACACTGTTTACTGCCCCAACTGGGCACAAAATCACCCTCTCGAGCCTGATTCCCACCTCCCACCAGGCAGTGACTGTCCTACCCTGGCTTCCTCAGCATCCTGTGCCTCCCTCTCTTCCAGCACTTGTCATTCATGCACTCATTCATTCGCTCATGAGCGCCTTCATTCATCCATGTGTCATGCCTTCCTTTTTCATTCTTGCATGCATTCATTCATTTGTGCATTCATTCATCGACTCAGCAGCACTTGGGCACTTCCTGCATGCTGGGTGCTGGGGATATCAAGGCACAGTTCCTGCCCTCAAAGAACCCCAGTCTAGGAAGCAGACAAAACAGACCTGCAAACCACCAGACCGCTAAGGAGAAGACAAGCTCACGATTGCTGTAATGGGGCACACGCAGGATCACTAATCACAGCTTTATTTGCTGGGCTTCTCCCAGCAAGCGACAGAGAGCTGGTTGCCAGCAGCGTCTGCAGCCAGACTGCCAGGGGGCCACCCGAGCCCTCTACTCACTAGCTGTGAGACCTTGGGCAGGAACTGAGCCTCTCTGTGCCTCTGTTTCCTCGGCTGTAAAATGGGGATAATAAGAGTTACATTCGCATAGGGTTGCTGTGAGGATTCAAGGATTTAATAATTATACGGCTGGAACAGGGCCTGGCATACGGCATGGTGTAAGCGTTGTTAAGTCTTTTTTCTTTACTGTGCTGTGAGTTCTTGGTATAGCACTGGGGCTCCATACCCACCCCACCCCAAGCTCACAGTGAGGTGCCCCACGGTCCTCACTGGACAATGGAGGAGTGACTCGGGACCCCAGAGATGAACTAAGGCCAGTGTTGACCATAAGAGTCGCTTGTGGAATTTCTGCAAACGTACCTGCCAGGCTCTTTCCCTGGAGATTCTGAGTCTGAACCACAACCCGCGCTGCACAAACATAGGTCCCCAGCTGAAAACCGCTGATCTGGTTCGAATGCCTTAATTGTACTGAAGTCCATCAACTCGATCGAGACAAGGTGAAGTTAGTAGCAGCCCTGGGCTCGGAAGCAGGTGCTGTTTCCTTTCACTCCTATTGTTGGACCCATTGCCCCAGCAGTCCCACAGCAAATGGGACCCTCAAAAGAAGGGGGTCTGGGGGTGGGGCACCAGAAACCAGAGAGGATGCTGGGAAACTCCACGCAGGGCGGTGCCACTGTCCTTCCCCCTAGCCCCCCTACCTGGCTGCCTCTTCCAGTTCGAAGCACACTCTATGACCCCTTCTGCAGGTCACACCTCTCCAGGCTCGTTCCTTAGATAGCAGTGCTGCCTGCCCTCAGGGAGAGCAAGGCCTCAGAGGAGAAGGGGCAGCTGCACCGGCCTTTCAATGACTCAAGGATGGATGGGAGCCATCAAGGGGCCAGAAGGGCATTGACAATATTTGTGTGTGTGGCTGGAGCCCCAGACCCAGAGGGCAGGCAGGGCCAGTAGCCTGTTTGTCTCTGATCCAATTGTTACGATTCAGAAAGAGACAGCAGCAGCACTCAGCCTTGTCAAGGAAGGAAGGTTCTAGATGCAATGCTAAGGTGGGAGGGCGAGTGGGCCTTTGCCAGGTTGGTGAGGGAGACAGTAAAGGCGTGAAGGTTTGAAGCAGCTTCTAGGCATTTGAGGGGAACTGGAGCAGGAGAGGCCCAGCACTACAGTGACAGGGCCAGTTCTGCCTGTCGGCTGTGTGACAGCTGAGAAAGAATGTTCCAAAGAGGGCAAGGCAAGAGGCCGGGAGAAGGGAGTGGAGACTATCACTTCATTAATGTTTTCTCCACTTTGCTACCTAGAGTTAGTTATTATCATTTATAATCACCATATGATATTTCAGAATATTTTGGTTTGTTCAGTGATGATAGTAATAGCTAATATTTATACCCCAACTTCACATATTTTGCCTTCTTCAATTCCTATAACAATCCTGTGAGATGGGTCCTTCTCTAATCATTACCCTCATTTTACAGAAGAGGAAATCGAGGCGCAGAGAGGTGGTGTCCTTTCTCCAGGTCGCATGGCTAATTGGTGGCAGAGCTGGGACTTGCACTGGGCGGGCTGGCTCTTGGAGCTGTACCTCTAACCACGACACTGTGTCTCTCGGCCCTGCTGGCTCCGGAACATTCGCTGAGGGCCCACTACGAGCCACAGCCTCTGCCAGGCTTCATGCCTGGGAAGAGAACTCCCTTTCCTGTACATAAGGAGCTTTCCATCTGATGAACAACTTCCCACGGCTAGACATTTAAGGTTGCTGTTAAAAATAGCTCCCTGAGGAACCAAGCTTTTGTAACCCCAAAGATGGACTCATGCAGGTCGAAAGTTATACCTTAGCTCTCATGTGTGCTGCCAGATTGCTTTACAAAAGTGTAGTGTGCATTGAGACCGGAAGCAGAAGCACGAGCGTGGTGTGACAATTTCTCCACAATCTCGCCTGCACTGGGTATTGTCTTGCCAAACAAAGGTTTGGTACCCAGCTTACTCAACAGGCAGCTTCTTCCTCCTTGGGGTTCAGATCCCTAACCGAGTCCCTGGATGGAGGAAAAAGCTCATGAAAGGTGGATGAAATATTAGGTTATGGAGAGCACAGAGGATCACGCAGGCCTGTGGGTGGGCCGGAGTCAGGGGGTTTAGTGTTTACACTGGGAAGCTTACTATCTTCCCTTTATCTAAACTAAAACTGCTTCCTGAGGCTATGGGATTTCAAGAACAAGACGTACAAGCAGAGAATATATAATCTTGAGCAAAAATGTGCAAGTGGTGAGCGAAAGAAGGAGGACTGGGTGGATGTCACGTTCCCCGCAAAACATGTCACAGATAATAAACATTCCACATCATCATTTGATGACCAGTCTCCCTCCTTCTACCTACCTCCCTTCTCGCACCTGTCTCGTTGCATTGTAACTGTGTACACTTCTGTCTCCGTGACCAGACTGTGAGGCTAGGCCTGAGGGAGGGGACATTTTTCCATCTTGTTTCTCACAGTAGACGGTGACACACAGTGCATGGCATGATGGATGACAGAAGGTTCTCTGAGGATGCTCTTTGAGCTGGTGTGAACCTCCCCCACCCATCTGTGATGCTGGTTACTAACACTCGTGTTGCAGAATAATTCTGTGGAAGAAGCACATGCACTAACTTTGGGGGGGAGGGGACCGGCAGGAGGGTGGCAGAGCTCCTTAAAGCCATGCTGGGATGTGGCAGAGTTGCACAGCGAGCACCCTTGCGCACATAGTACTGGGGAGAAAATGGACCGGGGTTATGTCCTCTATTTCTTTCTTTTCACCCCAGCGTCTGGCTCAGAGCTGAGCGTGCAGAGATGCTCCATGAAACCCAACTGCTTGACTGGCCCACAACACTCATGCGACGCCACCCGAGTGGACCACAGACCCTGCATGATGACAATAAGCAGACGCACTCCAAGCAGAGCGTGCTGGCCCTGTGGCAGTGGAAGTGGCCTGATCAGCATTTGGAGACAAACTGTTTCTCTCTGTCACTGCCTCAAAAGGAGGAAAAGGGGTTTGTTACCTAAACCAGTGGGCAGTGCTGCTAGGCTGCAAAAGAGAGACTTGGCAAGCCCATGGCTGAATGGGTGGTCCCCGAAGGCGGGACAGTCCTCAGTTCCGACAGCCAGAGAGTGGTGGAGGTGTCTGATGGCAGATAAGAAGGTGAGGGATGGGGAGAGTCGGGGTGCCAGAAGGACCCCAGAGGCTGTGTGCAAAGGCAGAAGCTTCAGACTGGGGCTGCTTCCTGGCTGCGGAGTGAGGGGCAGGCCAGGGAGCAGGTGGTGAGGGCAGGATAATTGGAGGCCAACATCTGGAACGTCTATGTGTGGTGGCTCCATGCAGCCTGCCCTGGGCCCCTTGGCTCCTTGCAATCACAGGCCTTTAAAGAGACTGACAGGAGCAGGCATTTCCTTTGCTCTCACAATTCCACTTTTAGAAAGTTATTCCCCAGGGACGTTCCCACAGTGCACCAAGGATGTGCACAGCTACGCTAAATCCAGGGAACTACCTAAATGTCCATCTGAGAAGGCCGGGGTCACTGTGTGGTGGGATGTTAGGAGCCTTTACAAGAAGGAGATAAAACTGTAGGAAGAGAACAGGGCAAGTTCTTGAATGTTATGCTCAATTTTATTTATTTACTTACGTCTGTATGTATTTATTTATCCATCTATTTCTTGTTAAGAAAGCCTGGAAGAATTTCCACCAAGCTGTTAGCGGGGAGATGGGAGCTGGCAGAGAACTGGACTTCCATTTGGATTTATTTGATACACATCTGTACTGTTTGGACATTCTACAGCAAACATTTACAAAATAATAATAAAAAAAATTTTAAAGACAGATTGACCCCTACAAAGCTCTGAAGGAGTCGTCTGAGCAAAGGCACGGTACCCCTGCTGTCCCAGGGACTCTGGCCACATCCTGTAAAGCGGGGCCATTGGGAGGCCAGAGTTAATCCCCTCTGCCGCATTTCCTGGCAAGTCATTGATTGATCAATCAATTGATTTTTTTCGGTGAGGAAGATTGACCCTAAGTTAACACGTGTTGCCATTCTTCCTCTTTTTGCTTGAGGAAGACTGTCGCTGAGCTAACATCTGTGGCCATCTTTCTCTATTTCACGTGGGATGCGGCAGCATGGCCGGATGCGCGGCGTGCAGGTCTGCGCCGAGGAAGCGGAGCGCGAGAACTTAACTGCTACGCCACCCGGGCTGGCCCCTCCCCGCAAGTCATTTAGCCCTTCTGAGCATCACCGTGTCCATCCGTACCGCAGGTGGAGCCGTCTCTGGTGCTCCAGGGCCGCTGGGAAGCCGGTGCGGGGTGCAAGGGGTGGGTAAACTGTTAGCAAAGTAAGAGAGGGCCTGCAGCAGCCCAGCTCCACGGCCACCGCCATGTGGCTTCAGCATCAGACTCAACCTCGAGCGGGGTGGGAGAGGAAAGAGGAGAGGAATAGCTAGTTTCTTCTGCGCTCAGCCCCTCCTCCATCTGACTCCCTCGCTGACCTCCTAGCACAGAAGGTTTTCGTGCCCCTCGGCACCCCACCCCCCCCCCGCCGGCTTCCTTCCCTGCGGCTTCCGCCTCCTCGGAGGAGAGAGAGAGAGAGAGAGAGAGGCCCCTCCTTCCTGGGTCTCCCCAGACAGCTCCAGCTGCACAAACATGGCCTGTACAGGCTGTTCCCGGCTTCGCTGAGGTCCAGCAGCTCACAACTTTGGACCTGGGCCAAGAATGTCCTCTTTATCAGCAAAAAGTGAGAATTTGGGAGAGAAAAAGAAATGCAGTCCTCAGACATCCCAGGGCAGAGTCAGAAGGGGAGAGGGGACTGGATGGGCTTGGGGAGGCGTGGGAAGCGTGTGGCCACGGCGGGCTGTGCTACACATGCGTGCCCCAGGCCCAATGAGCAGCATGTGGGGGGTGGGGGAGGAGGGGATGGAGGAGGGGGTGTCAGAGTGAGGACCACCTGGTGGAGCCAGTCCGAGAGGTGGGCAGGGGTAGATGCCAGGGGACTCCGATGCTAGGATGAGGTGTTCCAATTTGGGCAGCTGAACTTCAGATGCGACAGGGACACCAGTGATTTGGGGACCTGCCCAGGCAAGCCCTGAAATTACAGCTCTGAACTCATGTGGCTGGCACTTTAGGAGTTCACTGGAAACTGGCTGTCGGAGTGTCTCCTGACCTGCCTGGCACTTAGTAGGGACTCCTCAGATATTTGTCACATGAAGGAGCCAGGGAGTAAATTGAGATGCCCTTGCCACTCCCCTCCTGCCAATGGCCACTGCTGCTAAACAGCGAACTAGGCCACCAGTCTGATTTCGCTTTCCAGCCGGCAGGCCGGACAAGCCCGACGAGCAGCAGATGCATCCAGAGCTGGAATCCGGGGTGACTCCCGGGCGCCGGCCCTGCGGCCCCCACTCCCGCGCATCTCTGCAGGCCATTGGCTCGGCGGCCATTTCTGACATTTGCCTCGGCTCTGACTCATCCCCGGAGGAGAAGAAAGGGGCCTTTGTGGTCTCCCCGAGCTGGCACCGCCGCCCCGGCCCGAGGCTGGCGCGTCCCCTGGGCAGCACCGCCCCCCGGTGGCCGCAGCGCCGTGGTCGGGAGGCGGCCCCGGAGGCGGCGGCCCAGCTCCCAGCGGCTGGCTGTGCGATCCATCCGAAGGCCGGCTCCGCGAAGCCCGTGGTCCGCACTGTAGACAGGGGGAGGAATCACCTCCCTGAGGGGCCGTGGGCTTCGCCCTGGGTAAAGCCTCAACAAAAGATGAAATTGTTTCTCCAGCGCCCTGGCAAAGGGCAGCTCGGCCGGCGTCCCAGACCCCTGCTCCTGGGGAGGCCTCGCACAGACAGGGCCAGCAGCCCCTGCCGGCCCCCCAGCCACCACTGGAAAAAAGGGGAATGTCATTTCCGTTGAAAGGGGGGGTTATGTTCCTGCTTTCCTCATCCCCAAGACCACGTGTCTGCTGCATTTTAAAAATAGATGGAACTTCTGCCCTTCTCCTTTTGTGAGTTGCCTTTCATATCTTCGATTTCTCTATTTTCTATTTTTTCTGTTATTGATTTTTAGAAGCTCTTAAAAATGTCTGTCATGTGTTGCAAATATTTTTCTAAGCTTAGAATTTACCTCTTGATTTTATTTTTGGTGTTTTTGACACATACACTTCACATTTTTATGTGGTCTGAGCTTTTGATGTTTTCTTTTATTCTTTCTCTCTTTGCTTTTTGCTTACAGGACTGTTCCCATCTGCATACCAGACAAAGGTTTCCCTAATCGTCTTCTAGATCGCTATTTTGTCTTTTTCTCGTCCTGCTGCTCTTCCTCCTCCCCCTCCTCCTTCTCCTCCTTCATGTAGCTTTCGAAGCATCTGGAATTTATTTTGATATAAGGTGTGAGATAAAGATCTAAATATATATTTTTTGCAAGTAGTTAGCCAACTTCCCAAATACCATCATTCAGCCTTTCTGTCTTCGTAGAGTATTTCCCCACTCATTGGAAATACCACCTCAATAATAGACCAAATGCTTGGGCCTGTCTCTGGCCAGGACCCTGACCTTAGACACCGAGTCCAAGGGTATGGACTTCCCTTTTCAAAAAAACGTATCAGACCACTGATCATGGATATAGGACATCGTCACATGGTTTTTTAAGGTCCAGCTAAAAATGCCATCTTGAGGGAACATCTGCACATGAAAACTGGGTGGAGAACAGTTCATTTGAAAGGGCACGGACATTTTAAATTCCAGAATGGCTGGACTATTTTATATCCCACCACAGAGGGGTGAGCATGCCCTTCCCACTACTCCTGCCAAAGTTGAGTATGATTTATAAAACACGGCCCATCTGAAAGACAAAAAATACCGCTTCATCGTTCTCTCTTAATTTGCAGCTCTTTGACGCTGGGGAGCCCCTTGGCAGGACTGTCGAGCAGGGGAGGTGGCTCTCCCGTGTCCTGTGTGGCTCAGCCTCCTCTGTCTACTCCTTATGGCTAATGTGACCATGGTGTATATTTTTTAATTGAAGTGAAATTCACATAACATACAATTAACCATTTAAAGCGAACAATTCATTGGCATTTAGTATCTTCACAATGTTGTGCAACCATCACCTCTATCTAGTTCCAAAGCATTTCGTCACCCCCAAAGGAGACCTTGTACCCAGTAAGCAATCACTCTCCACTGCTCTCCCTTCACAGCCTGGCAACCACGAATCTGCCTTCTGTCTCTATGGATTTAACTGTTCTGGACATTTCTTATAAATGGAATCATATATTATATGGCCTTTTGTGTCTGGCTTTCTTCACTTAGAATGTCTTTGAAGTTCATCCATGTTATAGCATGTATTAATACTTCCTTCTTTTTTTTCTTTTTTCTTTCTTTCTTTCTTTTTTTTTTTTTTTTGCTAAGGAAGATTGGCCCTGAGCGACCATTGGTTGCCAATCTTCCTCTTTTTGCTTAAGGAAGATATGCCCTGAGCTAACAGGCCACTGAAGCAGAGCACACCAAACTTAACTACTAGGCCACAGGGCTGGCCCCCAGTACTTCCTTCCTTTTAATGGCTGAATAATATTCCATTGTATGGATATACTACAATTTGTTTATCCAGTCACCCACTGATGGATTTTTGGGTTGCTCCCACCTTTTGGCTGTTGTGAATAGTGCTTCTATGAACATTTGTAGAGACTATGATTTTTATGAATAATTGGGTAGCTATCTGACAAAGTAAGTTTTCCAGTTGGTGAGATTTTTAATATGCAAATTTCATGGTACCATAAAAGCAAATCACATTTTGATGTACACTTTCTGAAATTAACTTTATTGATTTCCAGGAAAGTCTGGGTACCAAAAAAAAAGCACTTGTAGAGAAAAGAGAAGAAAATGAGCACTAGTTGAGCCCCAACGTGTGGGGCCTAATTCATGGAGGCAGATGCTGCCCTGCCTGCTCTCCCCACCACCTGGAGTCACCCGCAGACAGTACCTTAGGAAGGGGGCTTCTGGCCTCTCTGCCTCAGGACATTCCCTGGGTGAGGAGTCCACATGGGGCAGCTCAGAAGTGCCAAGGAGCTGCCAACACTCCAGGAACAGAGGAGCGTGTCCTCCCCCCCCCCCCGCCCCGGCCCCCGCCGCCCCATCCTGCTGTGTGTTCTGTGCAGCCTCTCAGGGAGCCTGGGCTGGGGGGGAGGGTGAGCCCCCGTTGCCCAGCCTGGTGACTTACTTATTAATGCAGACTTCAGTGCCTCTCCTCCCTTCTCTGTCTCACTCTCTTCTCCCTCACGGCACATTGGACCTCTGACTCCTCCCCGTGCTTTTCTTTTTACGTTGAGCAAATAACTTAAACCCTTTGCTTTAGGAGCTCCTCCTTGATAACATGGGACCGTCACAGTACCTGCCGCGATGAGGAGAAAATGAGCTACTATGTGTGAAGTGCTTAGAACCGTGCCTGCCATATGGTACGTGCTCAAAAGTGTCCATCGCGATTACAGGAACAGGACGAGCACAGCTGTGGGAAAGAAAAAGCACCGGGCTCAGTCTGAGAAATGTAGATTCAAATGCCTCTCTTGGAAGATGAAGGTGAGGAGGAAATGGAATGACATAACCTACGTAAATGACAAATACAGGCCTGGCCCGCCAACGCTGCGTTGTCAGGGGAACGTGACCTCCACCGAGAGGGGCCAGTGCTGGGGAGCAGAGGAGAGCACTTCAGAGCCCCAGGCCACTTCTTCCTCTATCTCTGGAGAGTGATGTGACCTTAGGCAGGTCAGGTCCCTTAGGCCTTGGTATCCACATCCCTGGAAAAAAGGGGTTGGATTTTGGGCATTGCTAAATGCACTACCAGCTCCAGGGATCTAGGGAGAGTTCCTGTCCTGGGATGGACACACACACACACACAACATACAAACACATATACACTCACAAACATGCATACATACACACACATCCACATGTGTACCCACGCTCACACATACACACACACATACACACACATGCTGCAGAGGCCGCTTCTGCATCTCTGCTGGGCCACTTGAGAAACCACCAGGAGCCTTAGGCCCCAGGCTCTGTGAGCCTCGAAAATCACCTCAGAGAAGAAGAATGTGTCTGGAAAACATTTCCAGGCATTTCCATGTGTGAAAGCTGTTTTCTTCCTAGGCCCCTCCTCTCCTTTCGTCACTTTGCAAATGTCCGTGGCTGCCTTGCCGAGACTTGGGAGCAGGCCACCTCTCCCTGTGGAGGGCTGGGTTGGGGGGCATGGGGGAGCCTGCCCCCTCCTTTGTCGCCAAAGTTGGGATGTAACGCAGAGCAGACGGGGCGGGGAGCAGGCAGCAGTGAGTGCTGAGGCTCGGAGGCAGGCGGAGGAGGCACAGAGGAGGCACCTGCAGCCCCTCCTCTGGGCTCCAGGCCTTAGATCCACGGGCTGGGTCTTCTCTCAGTGCCCAGACACTTCAGGAGGGTGGCAAAGAGAATTTTCTTTGTTTTCTATAACTGTGCCTCCTTTCCGACTCTGAGTCCCTTTTCCTTTGGGCTGATGGGGAAAAATACATAACTTCTTCCAGGAGTTGTGTCATCATTTGGAGGTCTTAATGCAATGGTGCATGGTAGGAGGATGGTGTTTTGGTCGTAAAACAACCCCCAAATCACTTCTGAGGCTGTCCTTGTCCCTCTGCAGGGCCCCTCCAGGTCTGGTGTCTTCCTGTAACTTTCCTGTCACAGTCCCAGCTTAGATGCGTCCCCAAACCATTTGCCCCAGGCTCCCGCTGCTCCCAAGAGCTGCTCTGCGGTCCACAGAGCTCTTGGCCTTGTCGCTCTCCTTCAGGCCAGGGGACTCTCCTCCTGGTTCTGGAGGGGGCCCCTCTGCCCACTGCGTCTGGCCCAGGTGACTTGATCATTTGCATGAATCCTCTTTTCCCCTTTTATCATTACTAGAAACCAACTCAGTTCTCCTAAGGGCTTAGGCGCTTAAAAAAGAGTTGTGGGTTACTTCTGCCTTCCTTCCTCCTCACTCGGCTGCAACCCACAAAACTGCTTGCATGTGGGAGAAGAAAAGGAAAAATACAGGGAGAAAAATGAATGTTGCTAAGTATCTCAAAATAATATCCAGCCACATACATTATCCACTTAATCTCACCACGATCTTCCGATGTTTTCCTCATTCTACAGATGAGGACACTAAGGTTTAATAAGTGTCCTTAATAACACGACTTAAGTGTCCTTCCCACACGCATACCCAAACCACTTTGTCCAATGGGTGTGCGCGAGGTCAGTGACCTAGAGCCCACACTTTGTTGTTGTTGTTGCTATGCAGAAGAACTCTGTATTCGGAGTCTTCTGTGGAAACCCTGAAACACGTGTGTTTCTGCTCTGTTGAAGGCAACTTGGCTGAGGGCTCAGAGTGCAACCTCCTCCCCGACCCTGCTGGGATGCACCCGGCACTTCTGTCATGTCCCAGGCCCCAGGAGCACATTTAGAGGCTCTGGTCTGTATGGCCTCCTGGCCAGCTCTACAGCCAACCCCCAGACCTGGATGGTGACACGTCTTGGTGCCCAGTCCAGTGGACCTCCTAGGAAGACACTGGCTTCGTGGCACACCCAGTCCACACTTCCCACTGGGCTCTTCCCGTGAGGCTGCCGGGCCCCACTCCTGGACGCCACATCAGGCCAGACCCATGGCTTCCTTCTGAGAGGGTTTGGAGGCTGGCCCACCCGCTCCTGCCTGATGTCTCCACTGCATCCACCGCCATCAGCCAGGGCTGCGAGGGGCCAATGGCTTTAAATAGATGTTAATCCTGCTCAGCGCCAGATCGACAGCCCCTTTGGGAAGAGGCAGAAGGAACAGAGCTACAATTTGTCCCCTGAGACAAAATTTTTTTTCTTTTTGGCAAATCTCTTCACTGAGGCTGCTGCCATCTCATTCCCTTTTACTCATAAAATTGGTGCTTCAGGAGACACGAGTAGCCCTTGGGCTTCCATAGCAGGTCATTCACCCATGCATTCACTGGAAAAACATTAGGTGAGCACCGACTGAGTACCAGGTACTGTGCTAAGCACCAGGAATGCGAAGATGAGAAAGATGCCTCTCCTTCACCATCCACAGCCCACGGGTCACAGGTCTCATTCATGCCCCTGGGCCTTTCCAACCCTGGGAAATTGTAGGGGACGTTCGCTGGCTCTCGGCCACTCAGCGTTCATTTCCCCTCACAGCTCTCTGGTTTCCTTTCCCATGACCTGCCCCCCACGAGCGCAGCCTTGTGAGACAATGAACAAGGAACCGTGCCCTCCCTCATGGAGGCCAAAGCGGGGTCTGGAGGTTTTCTTGGCCACGGTTCTTCCTCTCTCTGCCCCGGTGAGACCAAAGCCTGGACGTGTGACCTGAGTGCTTCCAGTCAGCCCGTTTCCCAGGACTTTGAAACAAAGTCAGGAGAGGCGTATGCATCTCCACCCCAGCAGCATAACCTGGCTGCCGAGAAACTCCTCTTCTGCTTCCTGCACTTCTTCCAGCCCCATTCTCCAGCCTTCCTGTGCATTCTGGGCATCTCCCAGTTTTCTTTAAGACAGCCAGAGTTGTTTCTGTTGCTTGCAATCAAAGAACCCAGACCAACACAGCAGGTTCCAGTTGTTATTTCAATTGCATCTGACATGCTTGAAACAGACGTTGCTGAGCACCTGCTCTGGGCCAGGTGTTGTGGATGCATTGACCTGGAGGGAGACAGAGAAGCAAAGGATAAGTGTTTAAAGTGTGAGAAATGGAAGCACAGGGAACAAGGGAGAAAGAGGTCACTCCCTCAGCCTTCTCAACATGGCAGCTGGAGAGATTTCTTACAAATCAGATCAAGTCACTGCTGGGCTCAAAACCCCCCAAGGGCTGCCTGTCTCACTTGGAGTAAAAGCCACATCCCACAATGGTCCACCGGCCCTGTATGACCTGATTCCCCAGCAAAGGACTCTGTCTCCCAGGCCCCTGTGCAGCTGGGTGGGGCCACAGGGCCAAGCTCTCACCAGTGGGAGGGGCCTGCAGGTGGTGGGTACAGATTCCCACCTCACTCGCCTAAGAGGAGAGGCTGGACTTGAATTTCTTCACTTTCCCTTCTCACCTGTGAC